GCAGGCGCACTGGGTTTGGATTCCCCCTCTTCCTGTGAGCGACTGCTTGCACCCCGACCACGAGCACGCAATGTTACTGGACCATGTGGCTGAAAGAAATGTTAAACTAACTAAGAATCTAAGTCCATGAGAGTACAAACCAAAGGTTCAATACCACTAATACTAAAGTCTGCAGGCATGATCCTGAGCCAGTTATATCCATCTATCATCTATTTTCTCCTCCACACATAAACAAAACATGAATCTGCTACTGTTAAAGCTAATGCCGTATCTTTATATGCAATGCAGCCACAGAATCAAAGAGTCTAATGGATTTATTAACTACAGTTGCTACCAGATGTCTTGCAAGTTGCATTCCCTAGTTTCCAGGCTGCACTGGATTCAGAGTGACCTAGTGCTGCAGACACTGTTGTGGATGGACAGTTCTAACAATTTCTCAATTATTACTATGAGTATTTCTGTTATATCTTCCTTGGTGCACTTCACCCTCCAGTATTACTGCTACACTTTTAGTTAAATCTTGGTATCACGCACAACTAGAAGCATGGAGGTGAAAGAAAGATTATATTTGTTGGAATGTATATTGAAGCACATGCAGCACAGTCCCTCTCTGCCGCTCACCTTGCACTGACAGCTCACAAGACATCTGACAACTACTGTACCTGTCTATTTCCTTCAGTCCCTCCAACATCAGGATAGTTTTATCCTATAATAGGCCATGACCACTTCCTTCAACATCCCACTCAAGTCATCATTCATTAATTATACTACCATTCAACACAAAATTTGAAGGAAAAGACCCAAAGTGTTGAATGACATGCTTTATTACTGAAGACATAAAAAGATAATATACCTCCTCTAATTTCTTACTAAAATTTCCATGGGGCATTCCATTATAACACATTTCACTTACTGTATAAGTGCGTTTGGGGTTCAATCTGGTGTCGAATGTCTCAAATGCATAGGTCTTGGTGCATATGGAATGGCGGAGCTTCGCAATTTTGCTGAACAGATGTGCACTTTTGTCCACTCTGTATTCGCAGATGTACACATGTTCCTCTGGTGCACCCACAGGACGACCCTTGCAGTATGTGTTCAGATCCAATACCCAGCAGTGTCCCATTATGAGATCAAGAGGCACCACCTCATACAGTGGCACTCTCATAACTTCATTTGAGAAGAACTTCCGCGATGGCTCATGGTACGTTTCATGAGGTCGCAGATAATGGTGCCCAAATGCAAATCGCTCTCCCCTTTAATCAGACAGAACAATATTTAGAAATTCCATTATGCACTTCTGCTGAAGATATGCATGTCAGTCTACAGAACATTATAAATTGTATATGGACATGGACAAGAGTGACAACTATCAACTGTTTCTCACTACCCATTTCTGTATTATTTAAAAGCAAAAGACGAGAATTATCTGAATTGTGAAACAAAAAGTATTCCAAATGTCATGGTAATAAACACGGTGAAATAAAAAAGAAAGGGAAGGATGGGATCCCAATGGCAGAGTTGGCAAATAAAGTAAGCAAGCAGAGGCAGAGCCTCTAACCCTCTAACACTATAATTTTTAAAGACAACATACAGTCCGAACAAGGTACAGCAACCATATTTCCCATCTTACTTTTCATCCTTCCACAGTCGCTCTATCCTGAAAATATCCAGGTCTGCATAACTGAAGTTCTTGATCGTCTTGTATGTATGCTTGGTTGGAGGAAATGTCTTTGGAGCATTCTCTTCTATTATATCCCGTAGCACGTACACTGTGTCACCTGCATCATTAAATACACAATCATACAGCAAAAGGTGCCAAATGAAAGTAAATTCTACCCTTCATCTTCAAATATCCATTTTATGACACTACTGCAACTGAGATTGTACTAGTCCACAGTTATCAAATCCCACATAATCAATTAATTACGGTCCATTATATGCATGCATGCATACATACACACATAGTATATCTTAACAAACTTAACTGTACGTACCTAACTAATTGCATGGCACACAGTCCTCGTGAAGCTACCAGTCACACAGCTAGTCAAGAAATTCTACCTTTTATTAAACCAAAGGTTCACTTCTGTGTTTACATTAGTCCATTACTGAGCCCCATTCTCAATCAGATATATTCAACCCATACCTTTATACATTTCTCCATGATCCACCTTAATTTTATTCTACCTATTACTAGTTCTCCCAAGTGATCCCTTTCTTTTGCATTTTCCCTTAGCACCCTGTACTTAGACATCTTCAATTTATCTTTCCCTTGAGGATAGCATACCATGTTCCATGCCCTTACAAAACAAAAAAGATAAAATTAAACTTTGTGTGTCATAATATCTATGTATTCATTAAGAGATATGAAGACAAAGATTATAAACCTTACAGAGTGTCTTAATCAGTATAAATGCTGCCTATAAAGCGTAACATGCAACAGATCAGTTACCCTGTCTCAGTTGCAGATCACCCCTGAGCAATGTGATGTAGTTCATGAGACCAGGTGTGGCATAATGGGGCTGTGGGTCCATAATGATCTCGAGATCCACAGGACGCGGGTTACACCTCTCACACAGATAATGCTCCACACCCTCATCAGCATGCACACAATCACAGTGTTGCCACACAAGACAGCGCTCACACTGGATCATCATCCCCTCATCCTTGTATAAGCCACATATACACCGAATTACATCTTCTTCCTCCCCTCCTGAAAAAAAATTGCTTCTCTGTTCACTGTGACACATAATGACATATATTATCCCTCCTTAATTCATATGAAATCGTTGAACAAAGCACAAAATGTGAATTCACAAATAAATCATGTTGATCTAACCGTAAGTTTAATCTACAAATACCAAGTGGTAACTACATCATATGTACCATCTGCTTCAACAATCAGTAACTCTTAGATGGCAGGTAACTTTCATTCAGTTCTTATCAGTACAATACAACCCACTATTCATATGAAGTTAAATTTCCTAAGCAACAGATAACATACCAAAACATTGTGAATGGAAAAACAGATTTTTATGTGGTGAACCTGTAACAAAACACAAGCACAAATAATTTCTATGGATGGACAGTGTGATGTTTGTAGTGCACTTTGCACTGTAACAGTAGACAAGCATCTGCAATAAAGAGTAAAGGCAAAGGATCCAATTAAAGAATAAGTGTCTTATGGTGAAGAAGGAAAGTAAGATGGACCTTCTCAGTAAACATTCACTTCATGCACTGTGCAAAGAATTAGCAAGTTTCACTGCAGAGAAAACATGGAGCACAAACCAGGATCATGTTCCGGCATGAAAGATGCTGGAGGGCTCTCCCCCAAGATATCTTCAATCTGTGCAAGGAAATCAGTTTTTGCGAGGTTGTATGCCTTGCGCAACCTTGTGGCTGCAATTCCTAACTCTGATGTCCGTCCGAAGAATCGCACATTGTTATTAAAAAGCCGACTCATATCTCGATCAAAGGACTCCACGGTACGGTAAAATCCAGTGACAATGTTCTGTTCCAGAGTGCAAAGATCAATGGGATCTGTGATACGCTGGTAATACTGTGGAAATTTGCGCTTTGATGGTAATGTCAGAAATGAAGATGCCAGCATCTCTCCTCGCTCATCTGAAACATATTAAATGAAGATGATATTACAGAACAGTGTATACTGAATTTCACTGGTAATAAATGGTAAAATTATGAAGCTTAATTACCCATTTTATAAACTAAAACATCTTCTCCAAAATGGCTCACCACAAGGGGGAAAACAATATAAAACATTCATCGCATAGAAGGTGTGCAACATTTTTCAGTATAATATTTAAATAAATAAAAAATGTTTCTTTTAACTCCATATAGACTACCTGCAGTACAGGAATGCAACCCCTGCATGTAGTTAGAGTCATCTGTACAGAGTTTACCAACCTCTCCTGGTTGCTAAGAGACTAGCAGAATTTTATAAATTATACTGGGTACCATATAAATCTACCAAAACACAAAAGTGAACTTATTATGTACATTTTAAAATTATCAAGGGCATCTGAAAACACTTCATATGGTGGTAAGGTGCCTCTAGAAACAGATGGCAGTCACTGCAGTAGATAACTTAGCAATGCAACATTATGCCTGTATTTGAAACAGATAAAACATCAAGGACAATGCAGTATGGTATTCTAATGAAACACATCTCCCTACAGTACATAAAAGAGAATCTCCTGATGTACCTTTTGCTGCTATCACAATGTTGTACAGGTCACGTAACACATAGGCAAGCCTTGCTGTTCTTGTCAGTTCTGGATTGTCCTCAGCCTGCGCTAGTCTGCGTGTACGAATATTGCGGGGACTGGTCAGTGCATTGAGCTGCGTCAAAAACACATCTGACTGTTTAACTTGTGGCCGTGTATAGTTGCAGAGCATGGACTCCTCCCTCCGTGAAGATTGTTTCAAGCGTTCACGAAGACGCTTCACCTGCAATCACAGAAAAAACTTCAAAGTTCAGTGTGTTTTAAAAGTTCAAATGAAATCAATTTTTCATAACACATTACAACATTCAAGCAGTTATACTCCAACAAACAGTTATGCAGAGGCAGCACATCAATATACATTTAAAGAACAAATGTCAAAAATCTTCACCACATACAAAAATGTTGATATTAAAATTAAGGGAAATTAAAATCTGTGAGATATGCATGTCAGTGTGATTTCTGAATCCTATAACTCTATCTCTGTATCATTTTTAAAACTAGAAAAAATGTGTTTATAAAAAGTGATCTCACTTGGATCTTAAATGCCTCGTAATGACATACTACCACTACTACTCTACAGTTAGAGTTGTAAATTGCAAGATAGCATAATAACATAGGAAACACAATACTATTTACAAAGTATCAAAATAAACCCAACATTTTGTTCACTTACTAAAAACTAAATGTTCCATACCCCTTTCACCTAAAATTTCAAGTACTTTTAGTGTCATTACTTATAGAGATCCCTGCATTATGAAGTTCAATAACATGACATTGTAAGTTTTTTTATGAACTTCCATAATTTGATGTCAATTACAGCAGCACATAAATTTGTACTGACTAACACCTCCATCACTAACATCGGTAACGAAGAATATTTACCATGCAACATCAAGTTTTTGGGTCTCAAACCACTGTCCATGCCCAGTCTCACCTTCTCAAGGTTTCTTAGTAGGAAACAATGGTGCAATTGCGCAAAACACCTCTGCTGGTGTGACATGGGTTTCACTGGTGTCACATGACTCTGCCGTTGCCCTGTATTTCCCTCATTTAGCCCCTTCTTGTACTTCAGTTTGCTAGTGGCACAACTGCTGTTAATGGTGGTGCCAGTGTTACTGCTGGAATTGCTGGCAATGCTACTGACATTACTATTGTTGTTACTATTGTTGTGGTTGATGTTGATGTTATTGCTGCTGCTGCTGTTGTTGCTGACAATGCTGCTGCTGCTACTACTGCTTGTATGGCTACTGCTGTTAGGGTTCACATTCACAGCGCTGCTTATGCTCCCATTGTTCTTTCGCGCATACTTCCGGGGTCTACCGACCATCCTGCGTTCTCCCTTCTCCTCCACACGTGGTGTCGCACCATTCACGCGCTGCGACTTTCCGCCAATCACACCTCGACAGTGCATACTACCACACTTACAAGGCTGAAAAAATTGCACAAGTCACTAACAAGAGAACTAACTTATTAAACTGCGGCCGTCATCACAAGGAGAAGCCAGCACTTACCAGACACCACAACCACAGATAAACGCAACACGAAAGGGAACAAATACGATTCTAATTCTGTACTTTTGTGTTTCCCAATTCCGCTACAAGCCTTGTGAATGTAACACATATGAAGATAACTAGCAGCTACATACTATTTTAATAAATTCTGTGAGAAATGTGAAGAACAGTGTCTTTCCAAAGGAAGTTCAATAAGTCATTTACTTTCAGACTGCCCATAGCATTTATCCCACCAAAACTCAAAAACAAATTTGAATATATTTTCCATATGTGAAAAGCTGGGAGAGTTTCATTCATCTTGAAACTGGGGAAAGTGAAACAATACCTGTCCCTCAGCTGGGTTAAACAATGAGAAGTTGTAGTCATAGGAGAGTTCTTCATGTGGATCGATTTCCCTCAGCGCAAACAGAGCCATCCTGAATAATCCATTGACACTCCACTTCTGCATCTCACAGTTGGGTTCACATGAGTGATTCACAAATCGACCTGCAGCAAACAATTGAAATAACTACATGACAGTATGTACATCACTGCAAAATACTAGCAATGTAAATAATGAATCTCCTGGATGGAGGATTCCACCAGATGGGGTAGGCTGAATTTTTGAAGGTGTGATGATCATAAAGATGACTGACAAAATCTCTCTTGGGGATAAATATAATATGCAGGAAAGTTTGTCTGAAAGCGTAGAGGAGGCAACACCTCTGTCAACATAATCAAGTGTCAGGTTTGTACCATGGCATGGAGAAATTAAATCTCTTTGCATTACTGTATACAGTGATATTTGACTTACTCTCTGAGCTATAAAAATACATGCCTATTGGTCTACACAGTGTTAAGACTGAAGTTTTATATAAATATCACATGGCTGCCATGCTGTCAAAAGTTTCATGTTATAAGTGTGATTAAACAACCAATATTTCCTTATCTCAAATATTCTTTACAAAATTTTACACAACAAATACTATGTTTTTACTGCTTCTCTAGTGGCTGAAAAATGGTTCAGTAAGATTAAAGTTGCCTGAAAGTGAAACAGCAACAGAGGTAAAGTAACTACAACACACATTCAGCTTCAAATGTGAGACATAAAAAGTGTTTTCAGTCACATTAAACACAGAGTTATTAAGAGCAAACGGTCAATGTTACTGAAAGGCATAACAACACATAGCATGCAATGAAAAATTATGAAAGTCAACAACTCAGTACAAGTGCATCAGAGGCAAAATTTGCCTAGCTTATTTTAAACTCACCATCTCCTCCCATGCGATGACCATCTATCACCAACCCTCCATCTAGGTTAAGGCAATAATGGTGCGTGTCGTGGATGTAGCGTGTTGCCATACGTGCTTTGAACTCTTTCTCACTCACCACTTCTCCTACATATTCAAGGATGAATTCACCAGGCTTAATAGCATACTTGGTCTTCACACCCCAACCCTACAACAAAAATGTTTACAATGTACCAGCTGATAAAGACAAAAGTAAAATTGTTCCTGTGCTCAAGTATCACATGATGAAGTGAATGGAGAAGTAAGAGGAGGGATAGGACAGCTCATTAAGGTTTAACCTTGGCAGTTTACCCCAAAGAAAAAAGCTCCCAGTACTCATTAGATTGGTAGAGTGAGAACTACTGCACTTTAAAATTAATTATCCTGAAGTTCTGTAAAACATGTGATATAGCAAGGTATGATGCACTTCTCAAACTGCATTCACTGATAATGAACAAAACACAAGTGGCTCTGTAAAATAACATACCTTGTCTTTGGTCATAAATTTCTCCAGTCCTGGGGACCACTCATGGCGCTGTATCCTTTGGTTTGAGCAGAGTTCCTTGCATGGACAGAGTTGGGGTGAGCATTCTGAATACACCATACGATTAATACAGTCCTCCCCACATCCTTTATGGCCCAGTGTAGAGGGCAGAACACAGTTGCAAGCCTGTGCCTCATATGTGTATGTCGGCTTCACATCATAATACACATCTGGACAAAACAGCACAATTTATAGGTAACAAATGTAGTTCACGTGCAGCCATAACCTGCAGTGTTAATCTTTTATGTAGTCGATCACATTCAGACAAAACACTATTTGAATCATGTAATGGTACATCAGTCAGAGTACAAGGAATCCAAAATTGTATACCCAATAACATGAACTGAAATTAGTCTTAATAGCAGATCATGTGTTAAAATAAATAGAGTCTATAATGGGTTCCGATCATAAAACCAAGTTCCAGTCCAATTTTGGACTAAGTTCAACCATTCTGAAACAAAAACAAAATAAACTGAACCTCACATGCACCTTAAATGGTAAAGAAAAAACAATATTCTGCCCTGATTCATTAAGTGAATGGGTGGAGTGGGTTGGAAAATTCTAACTAATCTACCTACATCTGGAAACAAATGGCCCATGAACCAACTTTGTACCATAAATACTTATAAAAATGTAATGTAAAAAGTTTAAACCGACATATATATACAAGTGTGTGCGCACGTGCACGCGCACACACATTTGCGCTACTAACACACTCAGAACTGGCCCTTCCCACTTGTTGCCCATGGAACGTATTGCAAATAAACATAGAGAAAATAATGAATTAAATTTTGTTGCTTTCATATCTACATGATAACTACTTCAAACAAGAATAAATAGTGCCCAAATTACTTTATTTCTGAAACCTCAGTACCATATCACAAAATAATATACAATTATAAATCACAAGATGGACTTGGAAAATAAGTATTTCAACCATTTTCAAACATTATAAATACCTATTTAAACAAGGTTCTAGTCACATTCAGGTTACACTGTACAAGAGTTCTCAAATAAAATGCTTAAATACTAGTAATAATTACTTGCATTATATGAAATCATCTATTTAAAAACACCATATAAACTGAAGCTTCTGAACGATTCTATCAATATGGACAGGACTGACACCATACACTGTATAATATTTTGGCACAATGACATTTTGAAAAGACAATATACTTACTGGTACGGATCTTCTTGTAGTTCCACGAAGGCACTCTGTCTCGGCCAGGCAACTGGTTGTGTGTGTGCAGCCACCATAAGTCGTACGGCAGCTTAAACTCGACACGCCGCTGTCGCAAGTATTTGCCACAGTGATAGGGGGGAGGCAGCAGGCCATGCTGATGTTCCTCTGGTCGGTACACCAGTCTTGGCTTCCCCACATCACTGTTTGGTTTCCTAGGCCTAGCAACATCAACATATGTTACAAACTGCTCTTCTGTTTACTGCATAGCACACAACCTTCACTTATGTGACACACACCACGGTACCTAATTTTCTTCTGAAACTATATTCATTTCGATCATATTTCTTGTTCTTCACTGTCTTTTCTGAAAGCTGCTTGCAGGAAGATATAATGTTAGGCAGTGTGTTATTAAGTTGCAAGGCAGGCGTTTTTAGATTATTTTTTATACTGTAAAATTCCTTATTAGTAACAATATGTGAGAACTAGAAACTGAGAATAAATTATAAGCAGGCAAATTAATGTAATTTATAACACAAAGAAACTACTAAACTTTTGTTAAAAAAAATCTGAGAAAAAATCAGCTTACAGATGGAAATCTCAATTCTATCATTCAAATGGCCACAAGCATTACATGCGATTTAAAATGCCTGCTATCTGCAGATCAGATCTAAAGGTATTTTAGTAAGATTTTATACTGTTATAATTTGCTTATAAATGTATAAAAGACTATGTCACCTGATCTCAATTTGTGAGTCCCTATCACTTGTTATATTAGCTATGGTATGACAGGTTTATACGTAATCAGAGCCTCAAAATTCATACTACATGATGCAAACGATAGTAATACAGTTGAAGAGGTTAGCTGCTGGCTGCTCACAGTGAAGACCCTGACAATTACCTGTCTATCAGTCCTCTATCCACATCTATCACCAACAGCGTCATCATCAGGGGCTGGTACATAAATTTCATTTGGGGCCTCAGTACCACATGACTAAATCTCATCGCACTTCTATAATTACAATATGCTGTAAAATAGTTTCTCTTGTATTCTTTTCTTTTGTGCACAGCCTATGTAAAGAGGTACTTCTGCACTCCACAATTAATTCAGACATACTCATCCTCCTTGTAGTAGTCAGAAAAGAGACCAGCAGCCAAGAACTTCTTTCTCCAGCGAGGCTGTTTCTTGCGACGACAAGACTTTGTTGATTCATCCCCAGATGGAACATCACTACATGGTAACACTTCAAAAGGTAGGACATCACAGCTGCAAACACACACCAACTTGAAGACACATTTCATACACAGCTTCTAACATCACTGAAAGATGGGTGATGTAACTAAATATTGAAAATTAAACATATAATTTGCCATTTTAAGTCTCACTCATTGATGCCAAAAACAAAGGTTAGAAATTTCATCCATGACTCATTATCAACAATTTATAATGCAAACAACAGGGACAGCTCTGAAGCTTTCATGCCTGTACATACCACATAATATAATGTTTGAATGTATCCTACTTGGATAAAATCTATTGAAGAAAATCCCAGAAAAACTGTAAGAACAGAACTGCAGTAGTAGTAATGAAAAAGTGAAAAATTAGGAGTAGGGAGGACAAGACAAAGTGAAGTTGCGAAGACAATAAAATAATACACGAGAAAAATTTACACCACAAATTATGCAACAGAAAAATAATTTACTGCTGCATTTGCAAGATGTTCAAAACCTGTAATCGTCATCAAATATTGGGGGGGGGGCAACAAAAACATTGTTAAAATTCCACGTACTTTCAAAGCTATGATTTGTTTGTAATGAGCTGTAAAACAACCTCGGTGTGATAAAATCAGCTTTGTAGGAAACACATTATCATGAAATAGTTACACCAACAGCTTATACAAAATTACTGAAATGGGTTGTGAAACGCCAATTCTGAGATTGCAACAGGAGTAATACACTAAATAAATGGAATCTGCTATAAAAAAGGTAACTCTATCAAACATACAGAAAGAATGCTACAATTACCACTGGTAATGGAAGAACTTTGCTATTAGTGATATGATGTGTGAGTGGTACTGGATTTATTCAACCTTAAAGACAGAGGCAGCATGTCCTCCAAAATGCTGGAATCCACTTTCAAATCCACACAGAGTTAGAAGCCAGGAGACTAACAATGGCAATAAAGAACTTTTAATTAATCTCACTTACCTGTCATCCTGATCCATTTCTTCATCTCGACACTTCTTCATTCGCTTTGAGCCAAGCGGCAGGGGATAGTCATCTTTTGAAGTATCCCGCTTCCTCTTGTTTCGTACTTTAAAATCCTTATCCCCTGCATCAGAGGCCTGAACACTGGCAACTGGCACCCCTAGGTCTGTCCCAGGGACTGTAAGGCTGCATGACTCCGAGAACTTTGAGCACTCCTGGCCGCAGTCAACCACAGATCCTTTGCTTTGCTTCAAACTAGCTTGAGACTCTTTGGCTTGTGAACACAGAGCATCTTCCACCACCACTTCCACAATGTCTTCTGTTTTACTTGGGTTACCATCATCATCCTCTCCTGATTTTGACCCCACAGGCTCCTTCTCATTAAGAGAAATGTCTTCATTTGACAACTTCATTGCATCACGTTTACCATTAACTGTTTGTCTTGGTTCACGGCTCACTGTTTCCGCTGACTTCTTTTCAAGTTCTCCTCTCAACCTATCTTCTTTTTCCACTTCCCTATCTTTAGGACGTGATTCTGAGATTCTGTTGTTTCTATCCTTCCTACAAAAACCATGGGGTTGTTTAGTCTCAGCACGATTTAGAATTTCTTTACCACCACTATTCTGAGATGGAGTCTTAGCTGTGCTATCATCGGCAAGAGATTTCTTAACATCTACATTTATCACAGGTGTACAGAGATGTGTAGGAACAGGGGCACTGTTTGGACACTTCAGTGGTTTCACATCACCATTTTTGATACAAAGTTTCTTCTTTTTCTTTTTGATTGGGAACCCTGTACGATTTATAGCTTTCCTCCGACGCACACGCTGCTTCACAGTGCCAACAGCTTTCTTCAAAAGAAAGTCTGTGGGGGAAAGTTTTGTCACATGTACACGAATATCACGAATCAATTTCTTTTTCTTTCCTATACCACTGCGCCTCAAATAGGAATCATCCCTTTCTGATGCTCCATTTGCACGCTTCAACCTTAAGTTGTGTTGCACAGGCATTACAGCTAACCTACTTGACACCATTTCACCTACTGTTGATGTTGATACTGATGTTATTGCAGTAGTTGCAGTTGTCACCACAGTGGTAGCAGCCATTGTGGCAGCAGTAGTAGTAGTTGTGGTGACAGTAGCAGCAGACACTGTCACGACATGAGAAGGAAACAAGCTTATTTTAGAAGAAACTGCAAGAGCTTTCGGTGAAGCTGCTTTACTTCCAGGTACTAACGATTTACTTAATGGTGAAGTTACTTTATTTCCAGATGTACTTGACACTTTGTTAGTAGACGTGGGCACAAATGTAGTAGCTTTACTTGGAGAAGATATGGACACTTTACTGACAGGAGAAATCTGTTTAACAGGAGATGAAAAAACTTTGCCATTACTTGTAGTCACCTTGGTAGGTGAAGACACTTTACTAGGTGTCACAGAAGATGGCTTACTCAATGGACTTGAACTTTTGCTCGATGACACAAATGTTTTGCTTGTGGGGGATGTGGCTTTATTTGCCTGTAAGGTCACCTTGTTTACTGGAGGAGATACTTTACACGAGGAAGTCACTTTACTCACAGATGAAACTTTAAGTGTTGTTGATCCAGTTGTGGAGTCAACAACTGCTTCAGATAATCCACTGCCACTGGAGTCTGGAGCCACAAAACTTTTCATTATGTCATGAGTTACACTGAAATCACTTGAAACTGCGACCACAGTACCAGAGTTTGCGCTTGCACTTCTGGATACAGTTCGTTTACTTGGAGGTGGAGTGGTCACTGCAACACCAGACAATTTGTTGCTGCTCATCGCTCCTCCCTCAGCTGTGCCACTCTCTTTGCTTTTGTTCACAGATGTACACAGACTCTTACCCATCACGCCTGCTGCAGCAGCAGCAGCAGCAGTTTCCATGCGATGCCGCTTCTTTGGCGTTGCTATCACTGAGTGAACTGAAAGAGTAGAGTTCTCAACTGGCGGGGAAGTTGCTGTATACCTAGTGATGCATGCTTCGATCGCTTCATCTATTGAATTTCTTGGCAAGTCTGCAACGGGTTTTGCCTTTACCTCACAACTGTTTATATGGCTGCTACTGCCCCCAACACTTCCACAACCACCCTTATCCCTCATCATCACTGGCTTATCAGCTGTGGGTTTCCCTTGGCTTTTACTGGCAACACCAACACTTGTGGAAAGCAGCTTGTCTTTGTCCTGAGTAGTAGTACGTTCAAGGGCCTTTTTAGTACAATCTACTGCTGTGACCACTGAGTCAGACTGGGAAGACCCTGGCAGACAGTTTGTTGACTGGAGGATGGCAGCTGCAGTTGATATATGATAGTGGCGCTTCTTCAAAGGCAGTCTCTGCTCATTGTTCGTCTCGACCCTCTCCTGTCCCTGAAGGAGAATACAAACCGTGATGCATGTAACTGCAGTAATACAGGATTACCTGCCAAAAGTTTCCAAAGTACTTGGTAATACATTACAAAATGCAAGAAGTTCTACTCCAGTTCTAGATATCAAAAGCACACTTTCTGATCATAATGCAATGGAACTGTATGACATCTGGCAAAATCATCCTAAAAGTATTAACAGTAGTAGGGACAGCTGAAATTCATCCCATTACCAGTTCCATGTAAGCATTTAAACATCTAGCACTTCTCCACAGTATGTTATCTTGTGCAACTCTCCTCTGTGCAGATGAGTAAAGCAACAATATGAAAACCTCAGATCAATAACACACAAGGAATATTAAAGCACTATACAAGGGGACAGAAAGCCATTGATAAAATTATAAATAACTCACTACTCCATCAGGCAATATAGTTTGTAAGTTTATTTGATATGTCAAGAAAGAGAGGAGCTACACCTCCGCTCACCCCAAGCGCCTACATGGCACGTAGCGGGACAAACTTTACTTTATACCAAACTACACAATGAAAAGTGACCATTATGAAAGCCTCAAATTTTTCACACCCATGTTTTCAAAGAAACCAAATAAGGGCTTCAACAGACCACATCTAGTGCACACATTTCACTTACCTTTGGAGCCTCCACTGTGCTTTTCTTTGGCCGTCGCTGCCGGTTCTTCTCCTTGCCACCATCACCCTCAGTTCCCGATTCTCTGTCACTAGCACGCTGAGACTTCTCGCTACCTTTCCTCTTCTTAATGATTCTCTTCACCCTGAAGATGGAAGGCAAGTTGACATCCCCAGAGCCTGAGGCAGGACAGGCATTAGTCTTGGCAATGATGCAACATCGTTTAAAATCCTGAGAAAGTTTTTCTAAGTCCAGAATAAAATTTGGATCTGATAAACTCTTCTCAGTCCTTAAGCGCTTCACTTTTTTCTTCCTTCTCTTATGTTTATGGTGAGGCATGCCCGAAGGAAACTTCAGCATCCTGGAAGCAGAAGCTTTTGACGCCGAGATGTTCCGGATACTTCCCTGATGGCTAGAACTACAAGGTGATCCAGCAGAACTAGACAGTCGCCGCTGTCTAGGAAACTGAAATTGAGGGCCATGTTCATTTTCTGGTCCTGACTCCACTTCACCCCAGTCACCAGACTCATTTCTTCTCCTTCCTTTCCTCCTTTTCTCCACCCACGCTCCTACTTTAGCCTGAGCGAATGCTTCTGATTTCCGCTGTGCCCCCACTTTCACCTTTGGGGACTTTGAATGGAACTTCTTTACTTCACTACGCTCCATTAATGGATTGGGAAGTTCCAGGCGTTTACTCACTCTCTCACAAATCTCATTTAGAATTGTACTGCTTTTGTGCTCCTTTGTGCTCACCTCTTCATTTGCAAGTTCAACCATTGGATGTTTCACATCACTCTCTGACTGCTGTTCACTAGCCTTAGTACTGACACCAGTTTTCTTATTTGCTTGAGTCTTGCCATCTCCGTCCTTGCAGATGTGCTCACATGTCGGTAAAGGAAAATTGGGCTCCAATACCGGTGGAGCTTTTTTTGGTCTCCCAGGTCCTCGTTTAACAGGCACCACTGGCACTGGAGATGGTGCAGGTGGGTTTTCATCACAACTATCAGTCCCACTTGCCAGAACTCTACTTCCACAATCCCCACACCCAACCTCGCCCCTTAATGTGGTCTCTCCTCTCCCTTCAGAACTACTTTTTTTCCCTAATCCCTTGGGTTGGCCAGGTCCACGTGATCGGGGTGGGCGACCAGGACCTCTCCTTGCCAGGCTGCCTCGCCGCTCCTCTCCAAGGAAAAGTACAGGAGGGGGTGGGGTGCTGCGTGGGCTTGCAGTCAGAGCAGGAGCTGGTGAATGAGCTGGAAGGTTTGAAGTTGGAGAGCACGACTGATGAATGGGAGAACCAGCAACAGACTGAATTCCACTGTCCGGAGACACATTTGACACAGAACAATCCAACCTCATGTAAGATTCAAGCTCTGGCATGCACTTTCCGACACCCCCAGAACGAGAACTCTCTGCAGTAGACTCTAACTTGACGGCAAGTTTTGGAGGCCTGCCCCGCTTCCTTCTACGGGGCTCCTCTCTCATTGCCGTGGACGATGAGAGGATTTCCGTCTTCTCAACAAACTGCTGCAACAGAGTGGACGAGTAGCCAGATGCAGATCCACCCCCACTGCCCCCAGCCTCCTCCTCACCACTCTCCCCACTGCTGCTTGCATCTGCCTCCTCTGCCTCCTGTGCCACTTCCTCGCTGTCTATGTGGATCCTCTTGATGGCTTCACTCACCACCTGCTCAGGCAGCTCAACATCACTGCCTGATTCTGTTGCCCGCTGGCTGGAACCCTGTTGCTGCTGTTGGATGCTGCCACTTCCATCAGCAGCCACTTTCCCACTCTCAGAACTCACATCTTCAAACCCATCGAATGGGGCTCCACCATCATCATGGTTACCAGTTGTCACCACATCAGGCAGAATTGCTGCAAGATCTTCTTGGTTAATAACCTGCCAAAACAAGATCACATAACTGCCAGTGTTGAAAAGAACTTCTGATTTATATATAGTCTGCAATATACATGAAACCATCCATACAATCAAACATTACAAAATATATGTCTTGCTCAACTCTACCTTCCAAATCTCATACTACCAAAACCTTTTAGAACTCAAACTATTTTCTTAGTTACAGCACTCGGGCCATCTCTGGGGCCTACTCAACCCCCCCCCCCCCA